AATTTAAGAAAATAAGTTCATCTTTATCTTTCGCCTATTCCAGTTAGATATTTTACTGATATCATTTTTTTTTAGATTTGAAGTTTTTTCAACTCGTTTGACTTTGATTTTATTTCGCCAAATAAATAACATTTTTCTCTTTAGTGCATGCGCATGGCATATAATGTCTAGTTTTCTTGCCTTATACATGTAAAATAGCGTAAAGAACTACAATGACTCATAAATTAACTTTTTTGTTCCAGATTTCCCCCATGGTAACCCCAGACGAGTGCCCTAGATAACCCAGGTGAGTGAATACAGCAGTATTTGTACAGAGGCCTGTGATCTTCATTATACACCTGTCAGGTGAAAATGAATAGGTGACATCTTGAGCACATCTTCAACTGCACAGGTTTTCATAGAATCATTTTAAATTATCCACTTCTGTATAGAGCTGAGGTTAATTTCGATCCATACATTTACATGCCTGGGATTAATAGACATTAATTAACATGAAAGGCACCAATGCTGCATACTTTCAGAATTGTTTGTATACACATATTATATATAAATTTGCACAAAGTGTTTAAACATTGTGGATAATTGTTAAGTGGTTCATTTGATTTATCAAGAAGAGGTTGTAAATTTGTTTAGTTATGTTCCTTGTACTGGAAGAATTTGTACAGTGGAGCCTGATTTATCCAGATGCTTTTGTTCCTTGTCAATTTGTCAGGATACCCGGTATATGAAGCGTCTGGATATCTGAATTACCAATTAAACAAGACAATGTAACAAATAAAAAATTCTATTCCAATAAAAAGTCGTCCGGATACTGAAGCATCCGGATATCTAGCATCCACTGTATATGCAATTATATTACAAATTTGTTATGCCTCCCTTCAAAGAAGGGGGGCGCATATTGCTTTGCTTCTGTCTGTCGGTCGGTATGTCAGTCTATCGTTCCATTTAGTTTCTGTTCATTTTCTTCACAACCGTTGCACATACTGAAATTAAATTTGGTATACAGATACATCAGGTGAATATCTAGGCCAAGTTCTGTTTTGGGTACGATTGTGCCATTTTTGACAGAATTATGCCCCTTGGACTTAGAAAAATTCCACTTATTTGCAGTTTCCATTCATTTTCTTCACAGAAGTTGCACATACTGAAATGAAATTTGGTATACAGATTTATCAGCTGAATATCTAGGTCAAGTTCTGTTTTGAGTATGATCATGCCATTTTTGAAACAGTTATGCCCCTTGGACTTGGAAAAATTCCAATTTGGAGGAGGGGGGCATAAGTGTTTTACAAACAACTCTTGTTAATTGTTATATTTGTAAGTTATTTGAAGCCCTCCTTCAAAGAAGGGAGGGCAAATTGATTTGATGCTGTCTGTCAATCAGTCTGTCTGTGAGTCCACCATCAGTTTTCGTTAATTTTCTTCACAGAGGTTGCATATATTGAGCTGAAATTTCGTATACAGATTTATCATAAAAAAATCTAGGTCAACTTGTAGTTTGGATATGATCAGGCCAATTTATACAGAGTTATGCCCCTTGGACTTAAAAAAAATTTCAATAATTTGCAGTTTCCGTTCATTTTCTTTGCAGAGGTTGCACATACTGAAATGAAATTTAGTGTAAAGATTTATCGTAAGAAAATCTTGTACAATTTTTGTTTTGAGTACAATCAGGCTGTTTTGGACAGAGTTATGCCTCTTGAACTTAGAAGAATTCCATTTATTTGGGGGAGGGGGCATACGTGTATTTCAGTCATCTCTTGTTAATCATTTAAGTGCCTAGCTGTGTCAAAAAAAGGAAAGATAATAAAAGAACTTGCATAGTGTACTTCCAAATTTTTGCTGTTTAGTTAAAATTCATGAATTTTGTTTATGACTGAATCCAGTGTTTAGCTCACCTCAACATAGTCCAGATGAGCTTATGCTAAATCCCCCGCATCGACATTAGCGTTGACATTCTGGTTACAGTTGGAGCAGGTCCATTCCAAAGTGACTGTAAGCCCTATGTGGACCAAACTTGCATAGATGGTACATCTAAGGATGGACACTTTCAGACTTGCTTTGGATGCTGGATCTGACCTATGTTTTCCAGATGAGAGACCAGCTTAAAGTTTTTTTATCAGGTCCATTACCAAGTAAGGTCCAACTCAGATCAAGTGTAGATGGTAGACTACTGATGGAGACATCCAGTACAGCTTCGAATGCTGAGTGTGACAGGCATTTTCCTGATAAGTCACCAGAATTAAGTTTTTAGACTAGCTCAAAAAATTTATGGCCTGTTATAATTAAACTTGCATGGATTATGATCCTCAGGATTGACACTTCCAGACTTACTCCATATGTTTGAACTGACAGAAACTTCTTGATAAGTGAATTGGTTCAAGATTTTGAAGCAGGTCTATTCTCAAGTAAATATGTATAAGTCGTAATTAAACCAAACTTGCATGGGTATTGATCTCCTATCAGCCCAGGGATGCTCCCAATTACTAAGGAAAAAATTGTTATATTTGCCTTACTTATAGATAACATTTGTTGAGGTCAGCTTCGTAATCTTTGATTTCCTATGTTTTTTGATTTCATGAATCCTGATAATTCACATTCAATTCAATCAGAGATGGTTTCATTTAAGTCCAGAATGAGTGGTTAAAAAATGTGTGTAAACGTTTTCATGTGATAATGGTTCAATTGTTTGTTTGTCATCCATTCAAAAATTTTCACTCATATTGAGATGGCATGCCACCACTAGGAGATGGAGACTGGTTATTTGGATGAAACAGTGTAAACCAAGGTCCCATGTCGCAAAAAAATCCTCCCTGCTCAATGGCCCTGAGTGCCGAGTATAGGACAAAATTTGCAGCTCTCCACCGGCAAGTGTTAGCGTCTCCATATGTCAGTGAAAAATTCTAGAGAGACGTTTAACAGTATACATTTAAGGAGTCACTGTCTAGTTAGTATAGTCATGATAGTAGGCCAGGGCATCAACTGTCCCTGGCATACTACACTAACTAGACAGTGATTCCTTATATTTCCATTTCGTTGTGAAATAAAATTGTAGATTTAGACTTTAAAAATGTAGACATAGATTTAAATTATACGAGGACTCCCATGTCAATTTCAATAGTCCTCGCCCACTGATGTCAAACACAAAGTCAGTCGCACGAGATTTACATGCATATTTAGCCTCCTTAGCATCAGACACAGAGACAGATGTGCATGAGATTTGCATGCATATTAGGCCTCCTTAGCTCCTGACCTATTGACCTGCCTATTTTACGTTCCGGTAGAACTAACTAGAAATCAACTCCGCTTACTTTCAAAGAGTTATCACAGAGAAAAAAATTAGAAATGGAAATATTAATCAATCTAATGCAGGATAGTAAGATACCATAGAAACTTGCAACAGTTGTACAGGTCAGTGCAGTATTCAAGCAAACACAAATACAGTGGAGCCTCATTTATCCAGAAGCTTTGGTTCCTAGTCAATTTCTCCGGATATGTGAAGTGTTTGGATACCTGAATTACCAGAGTTAAATAGGACAAAATAACGTTAAAAATTCTGTTCTGATGAAAAAGCGTCCAGATATCTGGAGTCCAGATAACTGAAGGTCCACTGTACACATAACTGCACAATAAAATGTAAACAAAATTAATGCAAGATAACTAGCAGGAAAACATGTCACTATTCTATAACGATAACCATGACAATAAAGCAGTCAGATGTAACGTAAGCGAAGCTTGGCTCTTGGTATTGTTTACCAATCCCCAAAGTCATTTACTTGATAATAGGATCTTTTATTCGTGTGTGAGAAATTTTCGCGAGGAACCTTGTCATCACGAATATTACTTGCCACGAACCGATCCTAAATGCCTCTGTATCTATTAACAACAGATCCAAAAAGCCTTGGTGTCGAAAATTAATCGGTGCAAACTAGTTTACCCTAGTTAAATTTCAAAATAAATTTGTCGCATATAAAAGGTGATTTACAGTATTGTGTTTGTTATTTCCATCTTCTGTCCTGTCTTTTGATCATCCTGTCTTTTGATCACACTTTGCGTTTACCTCAGTTTCAAAGAAATTAAACAAGATATATTTACCATTTTGTCATACTAGTTCAAAATAGCAGTTTAATGAAAGCAAATTCATTCTGCAAAAAAAAAAAAAAAAAAATCATGCATGCAATAAACTGAAATTTTAATCCAGGAACTGTCGAGGACTGAATTAAAATTATTGAATTTTATTTAGTAGGTAATTAATCACTATATAATATTTAATCAAAGAACAAGCAAAACACTTGGAAAATTTAAAAGATAGAAAGTAAAAGAATGCAAGAGAGAGAGTTTTTATAATTTAAACTTGAGTGTCCATTTATTGATTTAATGAGTGTATACATTTCTTTTTTAATTAATTACTCTGAACTCAAATTTGAGGCAGAACATAGTACATACATGCATGCAGTTGCATGTAAAATTTCAAAAAGTTAAGCCATAATTTAAGGATTTTATGGTCTATGGATGTGCATGGATTATAGTTGTGTAATTTATTCCCTAATGTTAAATCCTGAGGTTTCACAAAGTATCAAACTATATTAAACTCAAAAGTGAAACCAAACCTAATTCAATACAACAATGATGACGTAATTTTGAAAAAAAAATTCAATTAAAAAAAAAAATGTTGTGTTGAAATATCCCATTAGAAATTTTATACAGATCAAAACAAGTATATAGAGTTTTATTACATATGATTCTTTATTTTCATGATCAACACTGGAAATTAGATCATTAATTCTTTAAAGACATTTCATGAATTTTTATACAGACGTTGACTGCTTTAAATACTCACTGTCAAAATTTGATTTGAATTAATATATATATAAATTCTATGAAAATGCAGAGAAGTGTCAGAAATTTAAATGTTTTTTTTTTTCCATTGAATGCCCTCATTTGAGCCCCAATCCTGCTTTTGGTCGACACTTGATCTAGTGTTTCCCGTACTTTGTTTTCATTGGCTGATGTTGATATAACTGTAGATAAAGTGAGATATTCAGCTATTGATTTAGAGGCATCATGTGACTTCATACATATATACAGAGGTGAGTTAATACTGCCAAATATCTGGGTCAGACATATTTACTCTTGAGTGCAGACTATACGCGACCAATGTGTCAGAGAGAATTTTAAAGTTCACTGGGGCGTGACAGTGTTCTCCTCTACAGATGACCTGCTTGGGAAACACTGAATTCCCTCCACATGTTATCTTGGCCAGGACCACAACAGGTTTGTGTCCCAGACAGGCGGACTGGTTCTTTAATCTCAGTGTGTAAAAATCTTGTCTGACTCATAGCTCATGTGTAAGAGCTGAGAAAACATCTGCACTGACAATCCTGTAGATCTAATGTTATATTGGTTAATGGCATGTGGTCTCTGATTTTTGTCATAAATGTACAATGTTTAGAGATAAGAATTCAGTTGAGATTGTTCATTTAATATCTTTTTTAAGATGTTGTGTTATTGCTAACAATCTTTTGTTTATATGCATTTAACACAAGGAGCATAATTGTAAATGCATGCAAATATACTTGCAACTCATGTATGTAAATTAATTAAGCTCTTTAATTTTAGAAGATTATTTTGTACGGATGTAATCATTTACACATTTAATGATCACTTTTGATATATCCCTCGATTTTTATTAATTTAGATACATACATACTAGTATACTCATGTTCATATAGAGATATTACAGCATATCAATTGTAAAGGAGACAGTTTGGCATTACACATTGTAATTCTGAATGACATTTGACAAGAGGGACAATTAATTCTGAAGTTAATTGGGCAGCCTGTGAAATGTTTGACTTTTTATCTCTTTATACTTTGTAGATTGTTGCTAAAGCATGAGTCAGAGGGCCGAATCCCTGAGGAGCAGAGGTAACTATGGTAATAGATTCTGTGTGCTTCATACATGGAGTGTAGCACATATTTACTCTAAATTCAAATCGGAGTAGACATACATGTAGACTGCACATGGAAATAAAGTATTATGAAAATTTTGATCTAGTACATTCCTCCTATGGGATATTATATGCAATATGTGTTACGCATACAGTATTTTCTATTCAAAATAAATATGAGAACGTAAATTTAAACACACGATCTCTATGTAAAACAGAAATATGCAGTATTCAGTGAATGGTACTTAATGGTTTGTTTTCCAACTTGCAACTGTTTTGCAGCTATTTTGATATGGAAACACAAACATTCAATTCAATTCATTTTATCAACATCATAATCATACATTGCTTGGTAAATATTCATGCATGATATAAAACAATGTACAGAAATGTAAGCTTTGTATGATAAAGATTAAGCTAGATGACATTATAATATCAGCCTGCATGATGCGTACCTCAAGAGAAAATAAAGTTTTCTCTAACTTGAATAGATTTCAATAAGAATTGTATCAGTGTAACACACAGGAGGTTTCACAGACTTCTTAGCTATGAGCTTAATTCCTCTTGTAACACTTCATAGGCAAAATATTTTAAATCAAACATTTGAGATGTTTTCTCCCATTTTTATCAATAAGATTTATGTCTATGTTAAAAATGATAGGAAAAAAACCTTTAATATCATTCTTTTCATAAGCATGGCAGGTCCTTTGTAATTCAAAGAAAAAACTCATGTGAAGAAATGATATTGCATGGCTAGCCTATTGTATACTTTCTATGTCTGTGATCCATCCTTACAATGAATGTGCCAAACTATTGATTGGCTCGTATATATACAATGGACTAGACAGAGAATCGGTCTCAATGATATTGTATACTTGTATGTTAAATATCTGTTAATTACATGTTAATGGATTAAAAATTTGATGTCTGTATCCCTTTTCAGATGAGATCCCACTCAGGCGACGCCCTGCCCCACAGACCAGGGAGAGGTCCAGGGATAGAGAGAAGGAGAAAAGTAAGGAGAGGAAGAAAAAAGACATAAAATCTTTTATCCAACATTCTTTTAACAGAAACCATAACATAGGCAGTGAGATGCTCAGAAAAATTTCTTTTTTCTGTTTTCTATATTAAATTATTTCTTATTTCTAAGGATGTGAATTTCTACCTTTGTTAATAAATGTGCCAGCAATCAACAAACGTCTCACCATTATCTTATCATGACAGATGCTGGTGTTACAGAAGAGGCGGAGAAAGCTGGTGGTATGAGAACCAGATTATCCACTGGTAGCATTCACATGAACGGTACAACTACAATTGCTGTCGCCAGGGAAATTGAGAATAACCAGAGACTTCAGGGGAAAGCATCCAAGGAGGGCATAGGTATCATACAAACTCATAATCAGAATGCTAAAATGAAAAGGTTATTTCAGAAAAAGATCAGGATTAATGAAAAAATGTCTCTGTTAATGTAATTATGGTAGGTTAACAACCTCTACCAAAATGTTTAGATGTATCACTGTTTCTGAAGTAGCTTGTGTTCCTCTGATATCCATTTTTAACCATTGTGTAATATTCTGACTAAATGCATGATCTGGTCTTGTTCAATAGACTCCCCAGTTAAAAGGAAGAAGGGTTCAACCAGTGAAGAGAAAACCAGTGGTGTGGATGCCAGTAATGTTGGCACCAACCCACCCCCCAAAAAACGTAAAATAGGCAGAAACGATGGCTCGGGAGAGGTAAATATGTGAAGACATTTCTGCAGCCCTAACCTTACAAGTATCTAGAATTCATTTTGTTCTTGAATTTAGAAGTTCATCTATGATTTAGACAAATCTTTGCACTTTAGGACAATCGTAATGACTACTTTTGCTGGTTGTGCCATAAGGAAGGAACAGTGATCTGTTGTGAACTGTGCCCCAGGGTTTACCACACCAAGTGTCTAGAGGTCAGCGGGGATCTCCCAAAGGACTGGGTGTGTCCAGAGTGTGAGGTAGGTCAACACAGGTCATCATAGGTCAAGTAAGGTCAAATGACCTAATAAACATCAGTAATGTTCTATTTGCTTATATTTATTTGCCTTATGTTTAAAATTTTGTTCAGAATACATGTAACTGTTTGAAAGGTGTAGAAATGTGTCATTGGATCGACCTTCAAGGCTTTAAGTCATGCATCAGAATCTTGTGATTGAGATGCTGATAGTGGGTTGTATATGCTTTACTTTCATTTTTTTCTCCCATTTTTGCAGAAGATAATGAGAGCCGAGTGTGTGGATACGAGGTCAAAGGCCATGTCCATGATCACTGTGGATACACTGTGTACCCTACTCATGTATGCACTGGAGAGGATGAAGCATCAAGGGGTAGGCCAATATGTATAAAGAGGGAAACAATAATTTGTCTGTTTTGTCATCGAGATATAATTATGTTGTGTCGTGTGATTGAAGTGGATAAAGATTGCACAAACTGTCGTGAATCAAGAGAATGATGGATAAATCTCAGAGCCTTTAAGACTATATAACTCCACTATTATTAATATTCATGCTTGTTCCAGAGTGACCCCTTCACCATACCAGTTGACCTTCAGGCGGTTCCTTACTACACAGACTATATCTACAACCCCATGGATCTGACCCAATTAGAGAAAGTAGGTGATTCATGTTGAACTACCACGGTAAAATATGTCATATTGTGTTTCAAATGATGTTTAGACAGAGTTTATACACCAGGAAGTGCTCTTGATGAATTTTGATGTTTGAAGTATTTTAAACTTCCTCAAATGTGGCAGTTTTATACAGTGTATGCCTCAACAAAATGATTTGAAAACATGCTTTGGAAAGATTGATATATAGAGAATAATGCATACCCTTTTCTATATCACATCCTGTATCAGATCGAGACATCATTATCGACCAAAGGCCCAAGCTGAGGGCTGACAAGGATGTGATGAGGAAAAGGGTACATGTTTTATTATGTACATGATAACAAAAACAGCACATATCTAGTTAAAAAAAATGCTTAACAAATATTGATTGGGGATGAGGGCAACATTGGTTATTTAAGCCCTCAAAGGATGAAATGTTGCCTGACCTGGGTCAGAGGGCAATATTTTCATCCTGAGGGGGCTAGGTAATGAATATTCTGACTATATGTTTATATTGCAGAACATTAAGAAGAAGATGTACGGGTGTACAGAGGCCTTCCTAGCTGATGCCAAATGGATTCTTCACAACTGTATCATCTTCAATGGATGTCAGTATTTCCAGTCTTTTGAAATATTTAAAGGCACAAATAGTTAATGAATCATTACAGTCAAGCTTATTTCTGCTCTGGTAATTTCTGCAGAATGTATTTCATATGCACAAACTTGTCATTCTTGTTGATCATTTAAGCATTTTTGCGTTGATCTTTTATAGCTGCCCATAAATTAACTGCCAGTGCCAAAATGATCATCAAAATTTGTAAGCATGAGGTAAGTCTTTGGTTGAATGAATTTTGGTATTAAAATAGATTAGGTTGTATAGTTACTCATATTCAAAAATGAAATTCAAAACAAAAAGCCAAAAAATTCCAGAATAAATTTAAAACTGGAAAATGATAGCTAGTGTAATGTTGGTCATAATGACTAAACTAGATATTCACCTTGTTGATTTTATTACAGATGAATGAGATAGAGTTATGTCCAGATTGTTACCTGAACTCCTGTATTAGGAAGAATGACGAATGGTTTAGTGAAACCTGTGTAAGATAATTGGAAGGCTCTTTTTTCCATACAAATTTCATGTATTGTTTAGGAAATTGTAACTTAAATGGCAGTGAAATAATTAAAATGATATGGAAGATATATATGTTTATTATATGGATAATTATATCTATTAAATGTACAATGTACATTATGATTGAAGTAAAATGAAGAGTAATACTAATTTATATGCAATATCCTTTAAATTTTGAATTTCAGAGAACACCACATACCCTAGTATGGGCAAAACTAAAAGGTTATCCATTCTGGCCAGCCAAAGTGAGTCTTAGCTAAATATACATGTATATGGTACATTAGTACATTATACATGTGATTTTGCATGATGTATTTTTTTATGTCTCTCCACCTGCCATTCATATATCGGATCTCCATGAAAATTTTTGTTCAGTCATCACCATATGGCAATTCCAAGATTTATTCTATGTTTTGCATCCACATGACACCTTAGATGAGGAAAAACAAAATCAGCTGTCAAGAAATTGATTCTTTTTGTAAAAACCTTTGAATTCATTCATTTCCTTCCTATGTTTATCTGAAGTATCTCAAATTGTGTATAGATTAAGCATTTAAATTGTTTAAATACAACCTGTACCTACATTTGATAATGAATAAATCTTCCTTTGAGAAAAAAAAGATGAATGAAATCAAAATCCTTTCACGTCTTCATGAATGTAAGTCTTTATAATTTATTTTTGTTTGTGTGTAAGTGTTTTATTGTTAGTGCTTAGGTAATGTTTTCTTTTTTTTTTTTTTGAAACATGGACAGAATTGATGGACACTAAACAGTGTAAAATCTTGGAATGGCCTAATGTCTGAATCAGGCCATACAGATAAATCATTTTCTGTGTGTGTTCATCTGGTAGTTTTCTTGTCTTTTGTTAGGTTTTGAGAATTGAGCCACCTAATGCAAGTATTTCTCTTAATTTTAATTCAAAGCTGATTTTTCATATTTTGTTTCTGTTACAATTGTTTTGTATATTTCTTCTTTATTTTGTTTGTAAATTACCAAATGTACAATTCATATTCTAGGTCCTCATTATTTATTTAAATAAGCAAATTTAAAAAATCTTTAAGTTTTAAGAAATTCATATCTATATATTTAAGAATGTAAATTTTATGTTGCACTGTCACAGCATTTTTTCAAGTGTAAAAATAGTAAATTCAGACTTAAATGCATTAAACCTTTATCACACACTCCATATGTTTTTAGCTCACCTGAGCCGAAGGCTCAAGTGAGCTTTTCTGATCACATTTTGTCCGTCGTCTGTCATTCCGTCTGTCCGTCCGTCTGTAAATTTTTTACATTTTCGACTTCTTCTCAAGAACCACTCGGCCTGTTTTGACCAAACTTGGTACAAAGCATCCTTGGGTGAAGGGGAATTTAAATTGTTAAATGGAAGGGCCAAGTCCCCTCACAAGGGGGGATAATCAAGAGAAGACAAAAATAGGGTGGGGTCATTAAAAAATCTTCTCAAGAACCACTGGGCCAGAAAAGCTGAAACTTATGTGGAAGCATCCTCAGGTAGTGTAGATTCAAGTTTGTTCAAATCATGACCCCCTGGGGTAGGGCGGGGCCACAATGGGGAATCAAAGTTTTACATAGAAATATGTAGGAAACATCTTTAAAAATCTTCTTCTCAAGAACCACTGGGCCAGAAAAACTGAAACTTATGTGGAAGCATTATGGGGTAGTGTCGATTCTAAATTGTTCAAATCATGACCCCCCAGTGGTAGGGCGGGGCCACAATGGGGAATCAAAGTTTTACATAGAAATATATAGGAAACATCTTTAAAAATCTTCTTCTTAAGAACCACTGGGCCAGAAAAGCTGAAACTTATGTGGAAACATCCTGAGATAGTGTAGATTCTAAATTGTTCAAATCATGACCCCCTCCGGAGGTAGGGCGGGGCCACAAAGGGGAATCAAAGTTTTACATAGAAATATGTAGGAAACATCTTTAAAAATCTTCTTCTCAAGAACCACTGGGACAGAAAAACTGAAACTTATGTGGAAGCATCCTGGGATAGTGTAGATTTTAAATTGTTCAAATCATGACCCCCTGAGGTAGGGCGGGGCCACAATGGGGAATCAAAGTTTTACATAGAAATATATAGAAAAAATCTTTAAAAAAATCTTCTTCTCAAGAACCACTGGGCCAGAAAAGCTGAAACTTATGTGGAAACATCCTGAGGTAGTGTAGATTCTAAATTGTTCAAATCATGACCCCCCGGTGGTAGGGCGGGACCACAATGGGGAATCAAAGTTTTACATAGAAATATATAGGAAAAACCTTTGAAAATCTTTTCAAGAACCACTGGGCCAGAAAAGCTGAAACTTATGTGGAAGCTTCCTAGGAGAGCGTAGATTTCAAATTGTCTAAATTATGATCAGTGGGGTAGGGTGGAGTCACAATATGTATTACAAAGGGGAAATCTACTAAAGAACAGCATGATCAAAGCTTCTCAGGTGAGCGATGTGGCCCACCGGCCTCTTGTTTCTGTGTTTGATACTGTTTTGCAAGTAAAGATTTATTCATCTGTATAAAAACAAATTTTAATTACATATACTTCATTTATATATTTTGAAAGGGATAAGTTTTATCAAATTTAAAAATATTTGACATATTAGATATAACATGTATGTGTTTTGAAATATTTTGAGATCTTATCTATTGATAAGTAGGTAATCAAGCAGAAAATGGTTCATGTAACATTCAGTAGCTGAAACATGCTTTTCAAGAATTTTTTTCCATACAAGTGGTGGGGATAGAAAAATTCATTCGATATTTGATTGGAATCAAAACATGAAAATAGATACATTGTATATACATAAAGCAAGCTGTTTTATAAATCTTCCATATTACCCTTGAACAAGCTTGTACCCCCTTCAATTCCCTCACTCAGCACTGGTTCACAGATCCTTACAGTGTACTTGTGTGTTATCTGAAGAGAATTCACAGTCATACCATTGACCTGCATATAAAGATTAACTTGCTTTCAGTTTCTTTAATTTGAAACAAAACTTCATTCTCAAGAAAAATAATCTGTACATGTGTAGATATATTAAAGCAAGTACTTCTCTATCTTATCCTAATGCTTTTTTCTATGCTATTCATGTGTAAGATTTGGCCTGATTTTGGACTTCATACTTTTAATCCTGCTAAATTCACATTGCTTTTGCATGCTTGATGATCATGAAATCAGTTTGTATGATGGTTTGAAAACCTCGTACAGATTCTGTAATTACATTCCTTTTCTTCTATTGCAGGCTTTACGAGAAGTTGATGGACAAGTGGATGTTCGCTTCTTTGGAGCCCATGATAGGTAATAGATTTTGATTTAATCTAAATACATTGAACTCTCTTTATTTGTTCTACCCAACAAACTCAAGACAAAACATACAGTTTACATGATTTACTAAGAGAAAGAGAGAATTTCATTGCATTGAAGGAGACGTCAGATTGATATAGAGTCTTGATTGTTAGGTGGAATGTGAAAATGTTTTATAGTTGTGTAAGTGTAATTACAGATCATGGGTTCCAACTTCCCAAGTATTTATGCTATCCAAAGAAATCCCAACCCCTGTGAAGAGTAAAAAGGGAGGCTTTGATTATGCCATGGAGGAAACTGAACTGCACATAAAGAAAATTAGGTGAGTTGTTTTTCCCTCTGATTCCTTATTAGAGGCTTTGAAATTGAATTGACTGAGATGCTCTCTTTATTCATGTTTTTTTTTATCTCAGAGCTGTACTTTGATTCATAACTATCTTGTCTTCACCCTCAGCACTACACTTAGCTGTGTTTTCATGACAAGTGAGATTAATACATGTGTAATATTACTTATTTTTATTTTTACTAGGGAGAAGTTTGGAAGATTTGACTATGCTCCATTCAGAACTCCCTATGACAAGAACCATGTCTACTTCCACAACAAGATGAAAATACCCACCAAAGCAGCCCTCAGAAAGTCCTCCAAACAAACTGTCTCAACCTCTCCCATCAAACCCGCCTCACCAATCAAGATGGGGATCAATCGCCAAGTCTCAGACGGTAAAGGAGACAAACAGTCACTGGTGATGAAACAAGCTTCTGCTGTGAGAAACAAGTACAGCAGTATCCTGCCCAGTCGCCGTGGGACTGGAGATTCGCCACAGGTGGTGAAGATGGAGCCACCAGGAGTGCTCAGAGTGAGTACAATATTAGGATCTTCAGAAATAGTGAAAATGGAAACACTGTCAGGAATATCCACTGAGGGTTCATCAAAACCAAAAATGACTGAGGAAAGTAAACCAAATGTCATAAAAATGACCACAGCAAAACCCAGCATAATAAAGAGTGACATTGTGGACAAAATTCAGAGCAAGATTGAAGCCATGAGTGAAGGAGATGAGGAGGGGGTGATTGAAGAGGAAAAACAGAACTCAGACATTGATTCCTCCACAGGAAAACAGAGTTCTAGTAAGAAAAGTGACATTGTGGACAAAATTCAGAGTAAAATTGGGGAGATGGAGGAAGGAAATGTGGATAGTGACTTAGAGCATGACTCCATTCTTGATCCATCTACTGGACAAATTAGTGCAAAACCTAGTGCTGAAGAATCTACAACTCAAGAAAGTGCTCAGACTACTGCTGATACATTAAAAAGTACATCTAGTGCTACATCGTCAAAGATGGATAATGAGAAAGAAATGGGTGGGGAAAACACATGTGAAACTAATGAAGGGGATGTGTCTGAAAATGTGAAGGAAAGGGAGTCAAGTCCATGCCCAACCTCCAAATCATCCGACACTCCTTCTCCATCAAAGACAGAATATCTGGCAAAACTCCAGAAAACAATACAGACCTGTAAAGACAAGCTGGGAATTTCTGGGGACAATCTGGAGGAGGCTGAGGAGGAACATTCCTCACAGGAGGACAGTGAGGAGGAGGAGGAAGAGGAAGGGAAGAGGAAAGGTGTGGAGGACACTGAGGAGGAATCCCAGGAATCCTCACTGAAGTCCCCAGGGGGGAGTGTGCCTCCAGAGGAGGAGGACACGGCAGAACAAGACCAGGTCTGCAGCAGCAGCACAGATGTGATGACAGAAACCAAAAAGACAGAGAAAAACATATTTGAGTTGATGGAGACTGAAGCGTCTGGTGGTCAAGTTATGGAGAGTGAATGTGATAAGAGCCCAACGAAGGTTAAAGAAAACGATAATTCAGCTGCCAAAGATTCAGTGGATAATAAATCCCCAACTAAAGTGGCAGACAGGAATAATAGTGCTGAAAGTGAAAATAAAACTTCTGAAAACTTGAAAGAAGGAAAAGACAATGGGGCTAGAGAAGAAACCATTGAATCTCCCAAAAATAATTTAGAGGAGGAAGATTCTTCTGGTGTTCCCGACACAACAGAGAAAGAGATGGAGGAGCCAGACACTCCACTTCACATGGAGGTGGAGAGTGAGGAGCCAGAAAAAGATGAGGACAAATCCACAGAGGACATGGAGGAGGGAGGTCAAAAGGTCATCACTCCATCCACTTCACCGTCTAAGTCAGAGAGCAGTGTGTCACCCAAAGGGAAGGAGAGACCTGGTATTGTGTACAGGAAAACCAACAAGTAAGTATCCTGGCAAAGTTACTTTGTACTGTGTTTAGGCATTACTTAAAAAGATAAGCATGAACACTAATATTATACTCTACAGGGACAGTCTTGCCCCTGTTTTAATTATTTATTTTTTGCCCTTGTTGATAGTGTGCAAATTTAAAATAGTGGGAAGTAAAAGAAGAAAAACATTTAAAAACAGGACAAAATCATTTGCAAATGTTATCATGTAAAATTAAGGCTGTATACACTATAATAATAAAAGTGAATCATTCCATGTCCCTCTATAGATGTACTTTTACAAGTGCATGTATAACTTTGAAGTAAATCATCAGTATGAATTGAGCGTATAATTGCACACAGGAATCATACAAAGTAAACTAGGAAGTACATAAACTGTACATGTATTATTGAGTATGTAGATACACCTGTGTATAGTTTAGGGATGACTGAATTGCTTTATTTTTGTACAGAAAACCAGTTCAGCCCCCTGCCATACTACCAAAGCCTGCACCAAAGCCCTCTGGTTCCATTGTCAGCCTCTCCTCTGAGTTTTTCCAGACTGCCATAGAAAAGTCCCTCCATCCAGCCCCAGCCCCAGCTCCCACCAGTTTACTGTCTCCAAAGAGAAAGTTATCAGATGAAGATATCACTGTTGTTCATGTCTCGAAAGTGCCAAAAGTAAGCCATCAACCTCAAACCAGTGTAGCCACAACAGTGACCAGTCCCACAGGTGTCAAGGTCAGCACAGGAAAGGTCATAGAGTGGTCAAAGAAGAATCCTGAGAAGCCGAAAGTGATAATAGAGGAAGTACCTCCCAAGTCCGCGGACCACAAAGATCTGCCGCAGTATGCCAAGGATCTTGTCAAGTCCTTCTCCGAAAGGGTAGGGTATTTTATCATCAGATAATGTTTATGATTAATCTGACATGCTTATGCTGAATAAGATTATACTGAATACATACCTGCTTACTAATCAAGAAGTTGCATGTGATGTTATGAACTTGCTCAAACCAACATTGGATATGTTTATTTTTAGTGTACGTTATCTTTTTTTGTAGATGATGGCTAGTATGCAGTCATCACTGCAGGAAATGTGTTCAGAAGTCATGTCAAAGGCTGAAAGACCAACAGTAGGTCTTATTATAGAAACCCAGTTATTTATGTTGATACTGTACATTAATTTATAAGAAGTCTAAAGTTTCATTATTCTTTAATTTTCTGTTATTTTTGGGAATTTACCCTTAATTTGAATTTTGTAATTAGATTTCACAGCAGTCTAATAACTTTAGGATCAGCCACAAGAAGTAGTGAATACAGAAGCTGAACTGGCCCGTATTGATTGGGAACAGAAGCAACAGATTGCAGAGCTCAAGCATAATTTCCGTGAGTTGTAGAGATTTAATGGCATCTTGAAACTAGTCAACAGATGTTCATTATCCATAGCTTTATCCAGGAAAGAAATTAGATAATCATGCAAATGGTGAAACACAAGAGTTTTTAGCTCACCTCAACGAAGTTGGGGGGAGCTTATGTGATACCCTCGACGTCGGCGTCAGTGTCGGCGTCCCGGGTTAAGGTTAAGTTTTTTGGAGCAGTTTTCTTTTTAAGTACTTCTATGTCCTATATTGATTAGACATGCATGGAAGATGTTTCTAATGTGTTTCATTGTACCAGTCAAAGTTTCAGATGCTGCAATTTCAGCAAAGGAATGACCAGGTTAATGTTTTTGGTGCAGGTTAACATTTTTGATGCAGTTTTTGGTGTAGGTCTCATTTCCGAGTAACTATAAGCCCTATGTTGACCAAACTTACATGGATGGTACATCTTAGGATGCATACTACCAGACTTGCTTCGGATGCTGAATCTGGCCTACATTTTCTGGTTGAGTGAACAGGTTAAAGTTTTTGGTGCAGGTTTCATTTCGAAGATACTATGAGCCCTATAATGACCAAACTTGCATGGATGGTACATCTTAGGATGCATTCTACTAGACTTGCTTCGGATGCTGAATCTGACCTACATTTTCCGGTTGAGTGAACAGGTTAAAGTTTTTGGTGCATGTTTCATATCCAAGTTTCTATGAGATATATAATGACCAAACTTGCATGGATGGTACATGTTAGGATGCATACTACCAGTCTTGCTTCGGATGCTGAATCTGACCTACATTTTCTGGTTGAGTGAACAGGTTAAAGTTTTTGGTGCAGGTTTCATTTCCAAGTTACTATGAGACATATAATGACCAAACTTGCATGGATGGTACATCTTAGGATGCATATTACAAGACTTGCTTTGGATGCTGAATCTGACCTACATTTTCCGGTTGAGTTGACAGGTTAAAATTTTTGGTGCAGGTTTCATTTCCAAGGTACTATGAACCCTATAATGACTAAACTTGCCTGACTTGCCTGGATGGTACATCTTAGGATGCATACTACCAGACTTGCTTCGGATGCTGAATCTGACCTACATTTTCTGGAGGAGTAAACAGGTTAAAGTTTATGGTGCAGGATTCATTTCCAAGTAACTTTGAGCCCTATAATGACCAAACTTGCATGGATGGTACATCTAAGGGTGCATTCTACTAGGCTGGCTTCAGAAGCTGAATCTGACCTACATTTTCCGGATTAGTGAAAAGATTAGTTTTTTATACAGGTTTCATTTCCAAGTAACTTTGAGCTCTATGTTGAACAAACTTGCATGGATGATACATCTTAGGATGCACACTAATGGACTTGCTTCAGATGCTGAATTCGACATACATTTTCCAGATAATATACCTCGTAAAAGTTATGGGTGCAGGTCTATCACCAAGAAACTATAAGGCTTATATAAACCAAAGTTGCACAAATGATGCATCGAGGGATGAAAACTCTCAATCTTGCTTCAGATGCTGGATTTTAATTACATTTTCATGATGAAGAACTAGTTTTAAGTTTTTAATATATAGGTCTATTCCAAAGTATCAAAATTGCATAAATTTTGCATTTTTGGATGTACACTTTTTGTTGGTTAATTGTGTGACTTAATTTGCCTTACTTAAAGACAACATTCATTAAGGTGAGCTCTGTAATCTCTGATTACCTATGTTTTGTTTAAGATGGAAACAGTTTTTAGTGGAAATCATTGAATACTAGGAATTGCACTGAGAAAATGGATATACTGGTATATGAAGTCAAATACAGTTTAAAAGATTTTTGGGAAGGTAGAAAAATCGAAGAGTGAAATTTTTCAATGTAAAAATTATTATTGGAAATTTTAGCACTGGCAATGATTTCTTCATCCCTTGCACCTAGGCTTAGGCCTAACCCTAGCACTTAGTCGAATCCTAAACACTTTAACCTTCACACTCAGACTAGATATTTCGTACAACAGAATTGACTGTGGCTGAGATGAAAACTTTGTGGGAGGCAGAAAAGCAGCGAATCATTGTGGATTTAAAGGCTGCTCACACCAAAGAACTGGAGAAAACTGTTAATGAAACCAAGAAAAAACAATGGGTAAAAATACATACAACAGCACCTAATTACAAGATATGAAACTGTATATTTATACCCCCGACCAAAGGAGAGGGGGGTATACTGTTTTCCCCTTGTGTGTCTGTCTGTGTGTCAGTCCGTAACAAATTTTTGTCTCAGTTTTCTCAGCAACTACTCATCGCAGATGCTTGAAATTTCAACAGAATCTTCTCTGAGGAATGCCATACAGTGGGATACATTTTTGTTCAAATCCGATGTCAACTTCCTGTTTGTCTGTGCGTCTGTCCGTTACATGCATAACAAATTTTCGTCACAGTTTTCTCATCAACTACTTATCGCATATGCTTGAAATTTTAACACAATCTTCTTTGAGGCATGTCATACTGTGGGATACATTTTTGTTCAAATCTGATGTCAACTTCCTGTTTTTCTGTGCATCTGTCCGTTTCATACATAAAGTTTTGTCACAGTTTTCTTAGCAACTACTCATCGCAGATGCTTGAAATGTTAATACAATCTTCTCTAAAGCATGCCATATGGTGGGATACATTTTTGTTAAAATCTTATGTCAACTTCCTGTTTGTCTGTGCGTCTGTCTGTTTCATACGTAACAAATTTTTGTTGCAGTTTTCTCAGCAATTACTCATCGCAGATGCTTGAAATTTTAACACAATCTTCTCAGAGGCATGCCATATGGTGGGATACATTTTTGTTAAAATCTGATGTCAAATTCCTATTTGTCTGTGCGTCTGTCTGTTTTATATATATAACAAAGCTTTGTCACAGTTTTCTCTTTAATTATTCATAGCAGATGCTTGAAATTTTAGTACACTTTTTGTTGAGGCATGCCATATAGTAGGATTAATTTCGATATGAATCTGATGTCAACTTCATATTTTTTTTTGTGCATCTGTCTGTAATTAAACTTGTGTATATTAGTGATAGTGCTTATTTACATCAGAGCGGGGGTATTACTAGTGAGCATTGGCTCACAGATTTCTTGTTTCTGTAAACTCTCTCATTTACCAGGCCAAGTAACTGATATAATGCTTGCAGTATTTCTCTGACAGTGAACATACCTTTTTATTTGACAGTGTGCAAACTGTGGTAAGGAGGCTATATTTTACTGCTGTTGGAACACAAGCTATTGTGACTATCCCTGTCAACAGATACACTGGCCTACCCACATGCCAGTCTGTATGCAGACCCAGAATAACAATGACACAAACACATCAGAAGGAAACAACCAATCAAATGCCTCCGGGAGGTCCAGTAGTCATAGCAACCCGAGGGACAGGCCACCTCAATCCTCCAGCATGACAGGGGCACCTCCATCCTCGAGCCCCCTGGAAATAGAGGTGAATATTTTTTTCAACTCAATTTATATTTACAATATATGAGAGTAAGGAATTGCATTTTTAAGACTGTATGTATTCTTGATTTTCCATCAGAGTGAGGATTTCAGGAGAGCCTCGAGAGAGAATCTTACAAACATTCTTCAACAGCAACAACAGAGAATACAGAATCCCCCACAACAACCAATGGCAAACATCCAGTATCTGTCAGGGGGCGGAGCTAATCCAATGGCCCCGCCCAACATCCCACCTCAGTATTTACAGCAACAGAGAATGATGATTGTGAGTACCTCATTTCTTAATTTTGTTATTCAGGGTGCACAATACAGTATCTTGTAGATGTTCAAGTGACACTCGACAATTCAGTGTTGTCTTGAACTCAGCTTGTTATTCCAAAGGTACAGCAAATATAATTTCTTCTCCCCCAAAAAAAAAACAATATGTAGCTGCTTATAATACCTCTGTCTATATATAAGACTTCAGAGAGACGTAAACTTTTGTTTACAGAAATATCTTGTTTATTGTAAATATATTTTTTAACAGGATGATGGAGGCCGTAAGAAGCCAAACTATTACTGGACAGATCAGACAATGGACCAGGCTGTGTCTGCTGTACTGAAGGATGGAATGTCTGTCAACAAGGCCTCCAAAATCTTCAACGTCCCCCGTAAAATTCTCACCGAGAGAGTGGGAGGCAGAGTAAGTACAGATATAAAGAGTCTGAGTTATAATTTTATAAAGGAAAGGGGAGATGGGTTGGAGATTGTTTAAAAAGTCAGCATCTCTCCTCATAATGCAAGTTTTAAAAAGGAGGAAATTTTAAACTATCAGTTCTGTTATTAGAAAGAAGATAATATTATATAAGATTATTTTTTTTGTCAGATGCCACTTCCTCAGTCAGTGACAGGAAATCAGCCTCTCTCTACCCCACCTGTTCAGTTCCAGTATGTGGGGCCCCCTCAGCCATTAGTTCAACCACCCTCAAGTGTTCAACCCCTCAACTCCACTCAACAGGTAAGTGGCTAACATTAGTAATACATGCAAGTACATTTGTATACTTGTACAATGTACAAAGAGCTAGGAGTACTTTATGCATAAAATGGCCCTGCACTTAAATCAATTGATTGACTAACACTCTTTGTCCCATTTCATTTATCAAAATAAAGTACTTTATGCAGGAGTACTTTATGCATAAAATGGCCCTGCACTTAAATCAATTGATTGACTAACACTCTTTGTCCCATTTCATTTATCAAAATAAAGTAGAGACTTAGTGCTCTCAATTCCTATAAAAAAAAAATCTTTTTGAGAATCAAGGAATCTGGAAAACAAGCTGTGTGAAAATGCAATGTTTTTGAATTTTGCAGAAAACAGGCGTATTTGACTACATCCAGAAATGATTTAAAATATGAACATGTTTCTTGTAGGCAATGAGAATTCCAGGACCTCAGCCACAGGGGGCACCACAAACAATCATGGCTCCTGGGCACCAGATCCTACCTCCTGGTGGCTCAGTCCTCTACCCCATCCAGATCTCACAGGCCGGCCCCTCCCTCATCAACGGAGGGCCAGTGGTCATCTCCCAGACCAACCCTCAAGTACCCCCAGCGGGTTCCATGATCATCTCCCACACAGGCCAACACCCCCCACAGGGCCCCCCAATGGTTGTCACACAACCCAACCAGCACCAACAGGTCATGACAAACAATCTGGCATATCATGGACGGTTTTAATTTCTGATCTTTTCAGATGAATCTTGTGATGCTTTCATAATCGTGTACTCATTTTCTGTCAGAAGACATAATTGAAGAGTCTCTTCAAGCACTGTTCTCTGAGGTGTTCACATCAGAAAAAAAAAACATGGACAGAGAGGGGCCTTGATTGGGCATTAACTGAGTATTATACATTGTTCATTACAAGTATTAGTCTTCTGCATGAGAAGACAATTCATTAATGGTTGTTAATGATTTCTGCATGTTTTTTAATAATGTATACCATGATTGTTGGATATTGTTTTTAATAAAGCATGTGTAGAAAGCCAAATGTCTGTTCTTTTTAAGCTACCAAATGAATATAAAAATTTGTGAGGGCAAATATGCAATTGACACTTATTTCTCATTGTGGAAAAGTGAAGGTCAATAACCCTTGTACTGTATTTACTTACCTTGGCTAGAAGATCAAGTTTCATCAGTTTGACTTGACTTACTTATTCCTGTTCACTCCTTGGGGAGCATAGGGCTGCAACCACACTGCACCATCCGACTCTGTTTTGGGCTATGTTTTTTAATTGGGTCCAGGTAAATCCAGCTTCATTTGCTTCCATTTCTACAGACCTTCTCCAGGTTTGCCTTGGGTCTCCCAACCAATCTAATTAAAATTAGATGTTAGATCCACTTGCATACTCACTACGCTAACATCTAACAACATCCCATAGAGGATCATTCGGAACAACTCTAGACTTATTCGCTCCAGCAAATATATGATGATTTTGCAGGTGACGATTTGATTGGTTGATAGAAATTGACCTCAGATGTGACCCTCAATGGGATGTTGTTAGATGTTAGTATAGTGAGTCTGCGAGCGGATCAAACATCTAATTTTAATTAGATTGGTCTCCCAACCCTCCTCTTTCCTTGTGGATTCCAATCCAGAGCTTGTTTAGTGATGTGGTTCGAGGGTTTGCGTATAGTGTGGCCTAACCAGCCCCGTTTTCTCTTCCTGATGTCAATATCTATAGGATTTTGGTTGTTTCTCTCCCATAGGCTGTTGTTCGATATGGTTTCAGGCCATCTGATGTCAAGGATATGGCGGAAACATTTGTTGATAAAAGACTGTAATTTGCTGTTTATTCTTTTAGTTACTTTCCAAGTCTCAGAATCATATTGGAGAACTACTTGAACATTTGTGTTAAAAATCCTGATTTTGCTGTTGATAAAGAGTGCTTTAGAATTCCATATTTGTCAGAGGGTGTGGATAGCATGTTGTGCCTTATTAATTCATCAGTTTGGCTCACAGGCCTTTAGATCGCTTAGAAAAAAAATTGAGGTGTTGGAAAATTTTTTTTTATTTTACACACAATTTTTTTTTGGAAAGCATGTTGTGCCTTATTAATTCATCAGTTTGGCTTGCATATAAAATGTATTGCTGAAGTGCAACCAAATCATCACTAATAGGAAGATTTTTCAAATGGCCTCCTTCTTTTCCAAGGAGAATAGCGTAGTACTGATGTATATAGAATCTTTGAATGGCTGACCAAGAAAAGACAAAATTTACCAGCTAGGCATTATGTTACATCAGGCAGAATCAAATTCAGCCAAACTTATCCATTCTAAAGTTAAGATGGGGCCAAAGCATTTCTAAAGGGGTTAAATATTGTTAAAAATTTCTTTATGAGCAGGAGTAAGATACACTGTATCACTATTATAATGAATATGAAATCACAAAAGGAATGGACAACAGGTATTGCCTATACATGTGTAAGCCCTCTCCCTAATACAAGGTCAGCCATACATGTACAATATTACCAGTAGTTTACATAACAATGGAAGTATACATGTACCATCTCCATACATCCTGATTTCATAAGATCTAAAAAGCATCTTCTGAAGATCAAGAGGTCTTATGAATATATTTTCATGTAGTGTAGCTCACTTAAAAGTGTCTGAAAAGTTTGCTGACTTTATGACCTAAGTACAAAAGAACTTGATCGACCTTCACCTCACAAATGAAGAATGTTAATTTTTATCAACTTTTTATTCAATGAAACTAAACATGCAAGTAATTTTTTTCAACAAATTGATATGATTAACATTACATCGAAACATTTCAATTTTACTTGTAATTGAAAAAAAAGAATACATGTACTGTAGCAGTACAGGTTTGACAGTAAACATATCAACCCTAAATACATGACTAGTTCAAACAACATTAGCAAAAAAATCCTGCATTTGATTTGGGATTCTTTTTGCTGCATAAAAACAATATTACACTATAATGACATTTACCATCATCTTTGATCTAATTATTTTTACAAAAAAATCTTTTTAAAGTTTTGAACAATTTTCAATTTCTACAGAATTCAGCAAACTGATGAATACCTAAATGACAGTTACAAACCTGAGGAGCAACATGGAAGACAAAGACAAACTGCGGACTTAAAACATATACTGTATACAGGGTTATTTTAAAACTGTGTTATGTATATGCAACGTTTTGGGGGGGGGGGGGGGGCACCATTTTTTTCGCATGTGATAAAAGAAATGACTTGTACCTGTCTCTTTTTGAATTTACCTAATTTAAAAATTACTCACATTTGATGAGAGCAAAGGGAGGTAAATAAAACGGGCTAAAAATTCCCTGTATACACTTACTCTGCACAGTAACTGAGGACAGCATAACTCTTAAGTATGAAAATATCTGATATGTTATATTCATAGCACCATATGGTTTGTTAAAAACATTCAGAAGACACCACCATAAGTGTACATGATCAATGTATATTAAAAAATCTTTGGTTCCAAGATATGTTATAATCTCATCTACATGATTAACAAAACTGTAAACATCTATGAAAATATATTCTATACTTTGTTAATACATGAAACTAATAACAGCAAAACACAGAGACTCTAGATGAATGAATAGTATTGAAAATTTAATCTCTTTCTAAAGAGAGCAGGGGTTAAACCTATACATGTACAATTAATCTGTTTATAAAAAACATGAAATGCTGAAATTTTTGGAAGTTGGAATATACATAATTTCTGAGAGTGCTGAAAACATACACAATTTATAGCTGCCTTTAACATGCAAGTAGTTAGTACGTCATTCCCGTAGCACCCAGTAGTCATCGTTTATGAAAGCAACATTTTATTTTTCCTTCTTGTAATCGTCACATTTCTTGTATATGCCCTTTGATCATTTTAGCATGAGATCTTTGACCCTTATATTACAAGGGGGAATGAAAAAATTGCAAAATATGAATATTTAAGGCTTGTTACAGTATTTGACACTATGTGGACCAAACCAAGACAAAATTAATTACAAGAAACATGGAAAGAACAATTCACAACTCATTAAAACAAATACATTTGTGACATGACCTTCTCCAATCTCAAAATTATATATACTCCTTTGCATACTGATATGAACAAAAGAGCAAATATCACATATTACAATAATATAAAATCACCATTGTCGTGAATTCTTGTATTTCAGCTGGAGCATTACACAGAAATTCTCCAATGTTTTCCCGTTCATAATAAGAAATACAATGTTACTGTCTAAATTCTTTCATCCAAAATAATATGACCCGTTTAATGGCTCCTTATTGCCTTAAAGTTCAATTTTTACAGCAATAGTAATAGAGACTAGTGAGGGTTAGTTAAACTGACTATGACTGACTTCCGTATTTAGTTAGAAATTCTGACTAGTACACTGATACCTGGATAAAATTAATACCAGTAACAAAAGCCTATTAAAACACTCTGACAGACAATCCACAGAAAAACTTTTGCATTTATAAACTGCTCTTCAAGTGCTGTTCTTGTGAGCAACAAAAAATCCCTTATTTTGCAGCAGATTGAGATTTTTTCCTTGAAATTTGGTCAAAGCATCAGAATTCTAATATTTCAACTACCTGCGTATGTACCTTAATAACAAATTTTAAAAGTCTTTGCTGTTCTCATCAACAAACACAATATAACATCTTCCGAATCACATGATGAAATTAAAATAAATATCTGAAATGCAATAAGATCACAGCTACAGCTTTTTGAGATTGTATAAGCACCGCTATAACTTAGTTGTGCTTCTCCCTTCTGTCTTTGTATCATTTTTGTTCACGTCGGCGTGCGTCGTGCCGTTAGTTATGGACGTTGTAGATGTATTGGAACTCTGGGTATTTCCTATCCCAGCATTCCCATTCATTTTGCTGTTTACTTTCAAATCTAAGTTCTTTGATTGGTCCTCCTCCTCCTCTTTCTTCTTTTCAGATGGCGGTGCTTTATAGAAGAACAGAGAAAGAGAAAAGAAGAGGATAGACAGAAATTTCCCTGCTAGGGCTATCCCCATCAAGTTAGTACTCATGTTCTCGTTGTTATAGAAGAAACATGATCCCTCATTGTCGTCACATTTCCTCTGCCACAACAGGCATGTTAGGTCTATCAACTTCCCAAATAGTATCGGACCAGGAATTGAACCTACAGCAAAACAAAACAGAATGGGATGATGAAAATTTATTCAAATGATGAGAGAATAAAATGATACCATCAAACATATAAGCCCTGGATATTCCCCCCTTTTTAAAAAGGAAATGTGTTTACGTGAAAAAAAAAACGTTAAAATAATGAAAAACTGCAAATTCAAAAGCTTTCATTGAAAAAGCCTTACCTAGACACCTAGCTATTATCCATTGTATACCTAAGGCAAATGAACTCTCGTGTTGTGGAACACACCTGTAATGTCATAAACATCTAAATTTAAAAGCCATATAATGTATCTGAAAGCTTTTAAATCTTTTCCTTATAAAGCAAAGTCAATTTTTTTCTAATGGATTACCTTTGTCTCAATTACTTTACAATTTCAAAGAATCCTCAAACATTTATTTTCCCTCTGTGTTGATATTATCCCTGTTTTCTACTTACCTGAGAGTGGCTGACAGAGCAGGCATGCTGATGACGAAGGTGAAGAACATGATGAGGAAGAAGATGGCCATGAAGAGAGGTAACATGGAGCAGGCACTCTCACACTTCCCGGTCACCGCCATGTAGGGGGGCATGGTGCCGGCGTGGTGGTTCACACAGCTACAGTTCCCGTATTGCTAAAAGTGAAAGGCAAGGATACTGTAAAATCACAGACTTTTAAACGGTCAGTTTCAAGATTGCAGGGGAATTTGTCATTGGAAAAGTGTTGATTAGTTATGAAAACTGTCAAAAATTTGCGAGTCTCTTCATATCACAAAGACAGTCCAATTAAACCCGACGTAAATTAGTGATTTTATACCATTCAGATTGTAATACATACAGAACCAAAATTGTTGAAAACCCCTGTAACCTATGAGCTAACTTACCACAGGGTCTGTTCCTGGGATGGAGTTACTACAGCCAGCGTAACAAGGGGAGTAATACATGATTCCGTCAATCCCACACACTGGGTTATAATTCTCCAGGGTACAGCCACAGTTAGCATTACAGCCACTGGTGGTGAACTTTCCAAGGAATTCCCTTGTGCTAAAAACAAAAATACTGGTTATCACAGTGGTTATGTTCTGAAAACCCAAAATAATAAGATAACAAGAGGCCCATGGGCCTTATAGGTCACCTGAGCATCATGCAACAACTTTCAAATGATTGAATTTGGTTCATGTTTTAAGCCAGATGCTATGGCATTCACAATTTTGAAAGAGGCACCATTGATTATCATAACTATACACTTAGCAATTGCTTAGTTTGTTTACTTAATACCCATAAGCAGGGTAGGGGAACAAAAATGCATGTCAACTAATCAGTAATATTCAGCAATAATCAGGAGTTCCCTTACCACACATGAACCCCTGACCCTAGGTCTACACATTGCACAATTTTTGAAAAGGCACACTTGCTTATCAAAATGTTCAATTAATACCAAGGAGCAGATTTCAAACAATTCATTTTCAGTATATAGAAGTAGAGCTCCCCCCCAATCTTTGGTATCCCTGATCCAGGGGCCTTGAAATTCACAATTCTGAAAGAAGAGCCCTTGCACATCATAACTATATAAATAGTTCATCTGCTTCTTACCCAGGAGTAGAGAAAAAGATTTTCATAGATGTATTATATTATCACCATATAATCATGATAGAGCCACACCCTAACACCATAATCCCTGACTCTGGGGCCATAAAATTCAAAATTTTGGTAGAAGCATTCTTACTAATCATAACTATGTCCTTAATTAGTTTATTTAATACCTAGGAGTGGAGAAGAAGCTTTTCAAAGAATAAATGCATTTTCACTATATAATCAATAGAGCCCTGTCTTAACACCAGAACCCCTGACCATGGGGCCATAAAATTCACAATTTTGGTAGAGGCACTATTGCTCATTATAACTATGCACTTAGTTAGTTTATTTAATACCTAGGAGCAGAGAAGAAGATTTTCAAAGATTTAATGCATTTTCACTATATAATCAATAGAGCCCCACCCTAACACCAGAACCCTGACTCTGGGGCCATAAAATTCATAATTTTGGTAGAGGCACTCTTGCTCATCATAACTATGTACTTAATTAGTTTATTTAATACTCAGGAACAGAGAAGAAGATTTTCAAATAAATAATGCATTTTCACTATATAATCAAAAGAGCCCTACCCTAACACCAGAACCCCTGACCCTGGGGCCATAAAATTCACAATTTTGGTAGAGGCACTCTTGCTCATCATAACTATGCACTTAGTTAGTTTATTTAATACCTAGGAGCAGAGAATAATATTTTCAAAGATTTAATGCATTTTCACTATATAATCAATAGAGCCCCACCCTAACACCAGAACCCTGACTCTGGGGCCATAAAATTCATAATTTTGGTAGAGGCACTCTTGCTCATCATAACTATGTACTTAATTAGTTTATTTAATACTCAGGAACAGAGAAGAAGATTTTCAAATAAATAATGCATTTTCACTATATAATCAAAAGAGCCCTACCCTAACACCAGAACCCCTGACCCTGGGGCCATAAAATTCAAAATTTTGGTAGAGGCACTCTTGCTCATCATAACTATGCACTTAGTTAGTTTATTTAATACCTAGGAGCAGAGAAGAAGATTTTCAAAGATTTAATGCATTTTCACTAATATAATCAATAGAGCCCCACCCTAACACCAGAACCCCTGACTCTGGGGCCATAAAATTCACAATTTTGGTAGAGGCACTCTTGCTCACCATAACTATGTACTTAATTAGTTTATTTAATACTCAGGAACAAAGAAGAAGATTTTCAAAGAAATAATGCATTTTCACTATATAATCAATAGAGCCCCACCCTAACACCAGAACCCCTGACCCTGGGGCCATAAAATTCACAATTTTGGTAGAGGCACTCTTGCTCACCATAACTATGTACTTAATTAGTTTATGTAATACTCGGGAACAAAGAAGAAGATTTTCAAAGATTTAATGCATTTTTACTATATAATCAATAGAGCCCCGCCCTAACACCAGAACCCCTGACCCTGGGGCCATGAATTTCATAATTTTGGTAGAGGACTCATTGCTGATTACAAACATACCAACAGTTTGACTGCTTGATGTCCAGAAGTAAAGAAGAAGATTTTTAAAGATTGCACTAATTTTAGTGCTTTTTGCCCCACCCCCCAGGCCCCAGGGGGGCAGGGATCATGAAATTCACAATTTTTGTTCCCCTTCACCCATAGATATTATATGCCAAATTTGGTTGAAATTGGTTCAGTGGTTTCAGAGAAGAAGCTGAAAATGTTCAAATGTTAACGCATGACGCACAACACACGACGAAGGACAAAAACGGATAGCAATAGGTCACCTCAGTTTACTCAGGTGACCTAAAAATGCTCTGAAATTATTATAGTGATTTTTTTGGTTATAATACATGTACAGATAAGAATTTCTGCAAAGACAATAAATGTTAACGAAATTCTTGAATACTCTTTTTTCAAAATATTTTTTATGAAAAATTGTATAATGATATAATTTTATCAACACAAATGAAAGAGCCAGAGCCACTTTGGGCATTATTTTGCCCTGAGAATTTCTGAAAAATAAAAACCGCTCGGTCTAGGTTGCAAATGCAGTATTTATCACTTGGAGTGTTGGTGAACATGTATCTATTAATCGTAACGTAATTTCCCATCAAGTCAATGCATTATGACGTCATAAAATGCGTCATTTTCCTCATATCCTGTAAATTCCTTTGAAAATCACCTAAAATTGAAGCGTTTTTTCAATATTTCATGTAGAGCACAACCTCTGATCCAAAATATGCAAATACATAATGAAAGCTCTGTTTCTGAAGATCTTAAAATATGTTTTATTTTTTGGATCGTGGGCTGTGCTCATATTTTAATTCTTTGCTGAAGGTAGTCAAATACGCATGTTTTCTGCAAATTTCAAGAACATTGCAATTTCTCAAACCTGTTTTCCAATTTGTGGATTCTCAAAACCAAAATTTTATTATAGAAAATTAAAGTACCAAGTGTCTACTTTATTTTGATATATGAAATGGGAAAGAGGGTGATAATTAATTAATTGATATAAGTACATGGCTATTTTATGTATAACATGGCTCTTGCTCTTTTCTAGTATGATAATATGAATTAAGGCACTATGCCAATTCATTCCAATTCTGAGAGAAGTATTAAGGAGGTATACTTTATGACATTAACAGAAACAGTATGTATGATTATACAAGTATGCTTAACGTAGGGCAGAGGGAATATTCCAGACTTTTTTTATCGTATGATATATATGAACATGTATTATCAGAATTCAAAGAAGTGGATTATAATATTTACAAAATTGTCCTACTCTATTGTCTAACATGATTACACCGTGGAAAATCTAATTTATGTCGTTTGAATGGTAGATGCCATTGCTGCACCATGATGTTTTTCAATACCTACCCATTGGAGGCCAATTCTCCGTAGTCAATATTGACTCCCGCAAACAGCACATTTTCACAATTGACGAGGAAAATGAGGACACAGAGGAAGCATGGGATACTGATGGCCAGACAGAATCGGATAATTCCCCGCACTCCCAGGTTAAACCGCTTGACCAGGTACCCTCCCAGAAAAGTACCCCCACCTCCTGCTGGTATAGCCGCATAACCTACAACGAAATGAATTCCATGCATTAAGTGTTTCCTGCTTCTAGAACTTTATCACACTATTATGATGCATTGAAAAAATGAATTTATCAAAATTATAATTATTACTTCAATCCCTCATGGTCAGGTACGTTTAATCTTTCTCCTCTGATTAAAGTTTCTTATTTAAAATAGGCAATTCATTTCTTTAACTATAAAGAGAACAGTAAGAGGATCAAGAAATACAATTCACATTTACATGCCTGTAAGTATTAAATATTGAGATAGACTTTACAGGTTTATCTCTTACCTACATACTGAGCAGCATCTGAGGCCAGTAAACTAAACTGAGCTTCTATAAACTTTGGAGCAAAAGTAGCAAATCCTGCCAGCAAGTTTCCTACAAAGTCCCATTGTTCATAATATATAGTATCCTCCTTTACAATCAAATTAGTTTCCTTGAAATGATGTTTATGTTATTAACAGGTTTGGGGGAAACGTAAATTCTGCTATAATAGTGATATAATAGTGACATATCGGTTCTATCAAAATAAAGTTTATATGAAATGAGCTTTTTAGCATTTGTCACAACGCCCTCCATACCTGTAACCATTCAGATAAAGATTGTCCTTTCTACTGTAAATTCAACAAACCCCTTTCAATGCAGAATGAAAATTATTACAAGCATTAATTTCTGCACATGAGTGAGAAAAATTGGAATTCAGTGTTTCTCGAATACTGCCACAATCGCTGGTTGCTATGCTAAAAATGTAACTTCCGTTTTACAAAGTGTGTTCGCATTATTAAACGCATCGGCAGAAAATTAAATAAAATTCATAATATGTAAGGATGACAATTAGCGTCCATTTTGATACCCATCATGAGTTGCGGTTTAAACAGCAAGCATGTTATCTGATGATATCGAGGGTAAATATGGCAGAAAATATAGCGGAATTTCACTATAATAGTGATATACCACTATTACAGCGGAATTCACGTTTCCCCCCAACCTGATTAAAGAAAGGGACTCAATTATCCTCATTTTTCTTTTTATAAAATTTACAGTTACCAGGTAATTTACAAAAAAAATCAGTACAATGAAAAAAAAAAAAAAAACAGGATCCCATTTTCATGAATCCAACCAAAAGAAATCTCTCAAGAAAAACAAAGTCTTACTTCTTTAAAAGTTAAATGATTCATTAAAATCTTTTTATCTTTGCATTAAATCCTTAAAATGGTCTACACTACTAAAACAGACCCCCGTTTACCTTCACAGGCAGCTGCGAGGTTGAGGAACATGAAGGTAGGATTAGTGATGAGCGTCTTGACAGATTTCCAGATGTGTTTGATGTTACAGGCTGCCTGGCTGTCGGTAGACTCAGTATGGGCGGACTCTGCTTTCCTGTGGTACACCTCCTTCTCCCTCTCCTTCTTATAATTCTCTGACCCTGGAGTCAATAAAATATAAAGTCTCTGTTATAATTTTTTTACCCTTGCATTTATTAGCAAAAAAATTTGAACATAAAGGTACAATGATTTGTTTTTAGTTGCTTGTTCAGCATTTCGTAACATGTAATGTATAAATTCCCTTTAAAAAATTAAAACTGGGATGAATGATGTACCATTATTTTGTAAATTCTCATATATTGTACAGAAAAATCTCACTGAATCCCCAAATGCTAATAAAAGATCTGGATCCTGAAACACACTGTAAGCAATGAAATACCTACCTGGCAGTTTGGTGGGAAATCCACACATGGGGAAGGCCACCAGGAAAGCCAGGACCCCACTAAGTAGGAAACCAATCCACCACGCCCCCACCCACCGGGGACTGTTGGGGGTCAGATTTATACTGCAGAAAACAAAGAATATCTTATATATTTTAACACATCTCAAAATATTGATTCTACCAATCTCAGCAATTCTAATCAATCTACCTGGTACATTAAAAGAATATTCAATAGAATAATTTCATTTTGACCCCATTAATGTAAATTAATGTAGTTTACTTGTGGTAAAAAGAAACTTATTTTCATCACAGTACAAAGTTTGTTTTAAAACAGCCTTACCTGCCTTGGTCCACAGTGTCAACATCTACATAGATGTTAAGGAATGCTCCCCCTGCGAGGTATCCAATAGCTGGTCCCACGATAGCAAATGCATAATAAATACCTGGAAAATGTATTCAAATGAAGAGTCATAAGGAACGTATAGAATACTAACATGTAAATTACATTTAACTTTACATCACTTGACCCTCTATCAAATAAATGGACAAGGAATTGGACAGTCATGAAGTTCCTGAACACAAATAATAAATTTTAGCAGATTTTAGTTAGCAAAGTTCATATTTAAGACATATTCAGTATTTGAACTCTTGATACCTGATTTCACACTTTTATTTTCACAGACAATTACCTATATACATGGAGGATGATCTGACAGGCAGATTCTCATCCAGATATGTGACTCCCAGTGTGTAGAGGGGCGATGCCCCTGCACCATGTAGTAGCTGCCCGAGGAAGAAGACATATTTGTAGTTAGAGAGGCTGTCCTTGCTGGTACATGCCGTGACATTGGCCCCGATATCACAGTACGTCACGTCATCTCCCGTAAACGAGTACAGCCCTGTAGTAAACTGAGGTAGTGCAAAGACGATAGATCCTAGGCCCATAACCAGGATACCTATACCTACAAAATGATAGATATAACATTAATAAGGTTATTCTTAGGTACCCAGAACTTTGTTATAACTAAGTTTTACTGTAGAAGGTTCAATAACCTAAAGGTTGACTAAATTTTCATTCATTGGAATGTATATTTGTGGCTAACTGATGGTGCATAAAATTCTTAAACATGCATGCATGCTGCACACACCAGTGATGATGCCAGAGTTAATTTTATAATGGTAAGGAATAGGGTAGCCTATGCATGTTGATTCCTCTATAACCCCCCTCCCCTACACCCCTAAAATGTTGGTCATCAGATAAATCAATCAAGGAAACTGAACACTCATCTAGCCCACCTCCTTATTAAATGGAAGGCTACAGCATTTCAACATTCTCTCACACATGAATTACAATATATCAAGATAAAAGAAGAGCATGCACATCTGATTCACATTCCTAAAGATAACTACAATTCTTTGTAATCTAATTATACACAGGTGAAAACTTATGGACATTGGAATGCACCTTATGAGAGTCAACCTTAAGTTTATTTTCATACATGTATTACACAGGAGAAGATGAAAAATGTGACTTGTGCAATTGAAAGACAATTCAATACACCTTAGGTTTGTGAGTAATCAAAATCAGGACTACCCTGCAATCTTTGCTTTCATTTAATGTGTCTCTATGTGATAAGGTAGGCTGCTCATTCCGAGAGGATCCTTATAAAATCCAACTTTAAGTTTATCTTCATAAAACACATGAGTGGAGCAGAAAAGTGACTTGTGTAACCGAAATGCAATTCAATACACCTGAGGTTTATGCCTAATCTGAATTAGGTACCCTACTTTCTGCACCTTCATTCCGTGCGATTCTACATGACAAGGATGGCTGCTCAATCTGGGAGGACCCTAACTATCACACCTCTGGCCCAGCTCCTTCTGGACATAGATGATCATCTTACCGAGTCTGAACTGTCCAAAGTCAAGTTACTGCTAGAAGTCAGTGGCCACATAAGGCAAAGGGAGGGACAAGCTCTACAGAATATGGCCGACCTGCTGAGGTTTATGTTTCACAAGGAGTTGATACGTGAAGACGACCTAACCCTGTTGATAGAAATACTGGGGCGCATTCATCGCCAGGACTGTGTCAAAAGAATTCAGAAATACCAAGAGGAGCAAGAAAACCTCAAGATGAAATTGGAAATACAGGACCTCGACAAAACAGAGCATTTCAATGATGATTCTGAAGTTAGATTGAGGAGATCTTCAGATATGGTGGTTCTGAGGAGGGATATAAGCACAGAAGTATCTTGGAGGCCCTCGAGCAATTGTATTACTTTAACTGGAGATTTTGATGAGATGGACACCCAAAGTAACCATAGTGATGAGGACAAAATAAGGAGAAAATCCTCCTTCATTTGAGTGTATTCCAGAATTGTTCATGCATTAAATAATGTTTTATACAAGAACATGTGAATCATGCACCATGACTCTATCATTATCATTGGACATAATAACAGGTATTTAAAGTACCTAACTGAGGTGTTTCTATTGATTGCGTGATTTAAATATAGACCATAGGGAAATTCATTTCCAAAATTCCCTCAGAGACAGACATCATGGAAGATGAACGTAAAATATCAAAGTTTGCTCAACTCCTGCTAAATATTTCACTGAAGCTGACACAGGAAGACTTGTCCAACATCAAACTTCTGTTGGAGGTGGACAAAATCTTAACTCGAAGAGAAACAGCCAGATGTCAAACCTCAGCAGACATTCTTAGGTTGCTGCACTCAAGAAAAATAATTCAGAAGAGGCACCTTCATTACCTATCAGAAATCTTGGGAATGATTAATCGCAAAGATTGTGTCAAACTAATCGAGGAATTCAATGGACCACAGGTGGAGAAAGTTATAAGTGACACTGAAGTACTCAATATGTTAACATTACTTGATGCTGAAGTACAATTGTCAATTGACAGTCAGTTTCAGAGAGATCTGAAAAAATTAGGTACTGATCAGTGCAATGGGAGTATTGTGATTTTGTAAGCTTAATATCATGTTGCTCAACTGAATCATTCCTTTGGAATCAAACTGAACTGTAAGTACAAACTAGTGTTCCTGCTTATCCAGATCAGAAGTGTTTGGGGTGTACTTCGACCACTTATTATATCATAGTGGTTTAATTAAGAAATAAACAACAATGTTAAAAAGTTCTCTGGGAAATGAACTTTTAGTTGGTCACGTGATCAAATCCTGTGAAGCCCGAAGGGCTTCTCAGTAGATTTGATCACGTACCAACTAAAAGTTCATTTCCCAGTGAACTTTTTAACATTGTTGTTTATTACTTATATTTACATTTGAGACGAATACATGCATTTCGAGTTAAATTGCATTTATTACACGAACAAAATATCACCTCGCTCTGTGATTCGGTCGCGCTATGACCTCTGACCCCCAAATAACATTCACACAGAACTGAACATATTTTCTCTTCAATAGGTTTATCTAAGAAAGATATTTGCAAATGTAAATATTAGGCATTATAGATGGGGGATAGACTTCAGAATAATACCTATCATCCAGAGACTTGTGGATTTTATTACATTGATGTTAAGGGTATTTAAAGGAGCTTCTAGTTGTAACTTTGTTATATATAATCATTCAGTATTTCTTGTTTACTTATATTATTGATGCACTATACACTGTATTTTATTGCCATGCAAACAAATGGTGTCACTTTATTACTTATCTACATGAACTTGTATGATACCTATGAACAGGCAGTGAGGGATGGTGATTCTGAAGAAGTTTTATATTCATTTTTCATTTTTATCTAAGCTACCAAATTACATCTGAAATTTTCTGGCTTGTTTTTGGTTTTATGACAAATATCATATATTAGGCATCTACAATTAATCGTATAAAGGATATAGCTATGTGAATAAATAGTTTATCATTTTACAATTCATAAGTTGTTAAATACAGTTATCAATGTCATCATGGTCATCAAATACTTATGACTGTTACTTCAATGTAATGTACATGCACAATTGTGATTTAAAAGTTAATGCTTTATTTGATGACATGTTTTCTAACTTGAATGTGTACTTAATACTGTTGTGTTTGTATTACATGTATTGTCCTGTATTATAGATATAACAACATCAGATTTGTGTTTATTGTCTGGTTGTTCTTAAATTTTTTTTAGCACATATATCATATACAATCTATACCTCTTATCTTATATGTCCTGAAAAGGATAATTTTTGCAGTATTATTTTCTTTGTGTAATTAAAAATGTACATAAAGTAGTTTGGAATAGTTCAGTCAAGAATATATAAGGTTCATTTTGCTGCTCATTTTATCAGGATCAATCTTGTTAATTAGCATACATTTAACATGTACATGATTATTCACTCAGACTGGGTCAGTTGGATGGACTTAAGTGTCAAACCCTGGTCATTTTTTCAAGAGATGCATTGTGGGATATGTATGCGTATTTCCAGTGTAAATTTCATACTGCAATATATACAATAATTTAATTTGTTTTAGCTCACCTGAGCTAAGGGTTCAATAGAGTCCAAAGAGAGACAGACAGATAGACAAAGTGATTTCAATAAGGTGTGAATCCTTGCGATTTGCTTCAAATAGAAGTGAGAACATTCATTTGTAATAGACTACCTAGATATCGAGGTTTACATCCCAGGCCTCCAAAGTAGCTGACGGGGATGAGACACAGGACTGAGGCGATGTCGTAGCAGCTGGCGATGGTTCCCGTCTCCGTACTGGTCAGGTCGTACCGCCGCTCAATGTTAGAAATCACCACATTCACAAAACCATTCACCACCATTCCCTGGAGAGAAAAAATTCAATCATTAACATCTATACATTGCAAGTATATATGTCTAAAATTAGATAACTTAAATATACATACCCCATATACCTTTCTTTATAAATCACATGAAATCTACATCACAGGTGTCAAGACAAGCAAATCTGATTTTATAATATGAGTACCTAAAAATGCACTAGTTGCCTTGTTGTTCTTGAAATTCAAAGATTTGATAATTTAAAAAAATATGAAGTGAAGAAACCCGTATCTTCTCTATATAGGGATGCTAAATTCTCTTATTGATTTGACTTCAAAAATTATGATTCAACAGTCTGCTCATGAAAGGAAGAATTTAAAATTTCAAATGAAATCCTATTCACATCCCTTTTTAAACTTTTGTAGTAACACCCTAGCTCAGGGGGTTTCATGATTTGAACAAATTGAGTCTGCATGCACTCAATAAGGAAGACTTCACTTTCATCAGATTTAAAACTATTGAATTCATCAATACCATAGATAAGACCACAATTTACAGTTATAAGATAAGATAAGATTTATTAATACCAATTTGGGGCCCATCAGGGCTTACAAGTAAAGAGAAAAACATACAAGAAGAAATTCAAAACTGATAGTAGCAACTAACAAAAGATTAATGATGATATATAATAAACATTTCATCCGATATGTAATTTTTAAAGTATATTTCGACAAAAACAGAAAAACCAAATACAATTCTTGGTGTAAATAGTTGTAAAGATGGAAAAATTGCTTTGCAATCTGACCTAAAATAAAATCATTGATATTTGGTAAAATGGATAGTTAATTTCATCAGTAGAACAGAACACCATAAGCAGAATGCAACATGCAGAAAATGAAATATTGATTTAATACCAAGTTACATCAGAAATCCCTAATAGGCGAAACAAGACAGTTGTAAAATGATCTGCTTCCTGCTGAATCCAGAGAATTTACACTTAGTTAGCTGTCAAGAGCTGTAATTATCTAAGTCTTTTGTGAAAATGAAACTTAGTCTAATAATTTGAGTCATTACAAAAAAGATTTGTGTATGAAACATAATTTCAGGAGAAGCTTAAATGTATGAAAAACTTATTTGCCACATAGTACATCCAATAATAATTTTAAGAGATTGTTTGAATAGCAGAAATGACTTAACTGCCCTTAGAAGATATTTGTAATCTTTGTCTAGAAATCTAAATGAAAACATTAACAATCTGATTCTGCTGAATTGGGCCATTAAAAAACAAGAGGATAAAACTATGAGATAATGAAGATGCCTCAGTAAAAATTACAGATGTGAAATTACAAAGTTTCTAATGTGATACCTTCTTATCTAAAACACTGATAAAGCAAACATATACAGGTTAATTGAAAATAAGAACTTACACAGACTGTTTGCTTTTCATTTTTTATATGTAAAACATTTATTTATAGATTTGTCTGACCCGAATGACATCAAGATAAATGCAATGTATCAAAAAAGCATATAAAGCATATAGTGCACATGGCTGATAAATCAAGTGTAAATCTGTAGGAGTCAAAAGATTACACACTTCTGGAGAATTTCAATTGTGTACATGAATGCAGTGCAGCCAACATTTTCAAATCTCAGCAAAATGACAAAAAGGACCCGTACGTCCCGCCATGTTTTATATACTGCCCTATGCTGCACACTTCTGACTAGCTTGCTAGCCCCTTAACCTTAAAGCTTCCTACCGCGAAGCATGAAATTTGACATTTGATAAAATACTACGGTGTTTACTACAGGGGTCGTCACTTTGTGATAACATCTCTCTCATGTCCCGGCACATGCTGCCTCCGATTAACGTGAATCAGGACACATCTTCATTAACCCTGCACAACATTTCCACTTTACTATTAAATGAAGTACAAACACGTACACTACAAAGATAGTTTTTTTTCTTAATGCCATTAATGAAGTGCAATTAGGTTAAAAGGATTTCAGAATCTAATTCCAGTTCAACTATTTCTTGAAAAGTATGAAAAGAAAATACACATTAGAATCTAAAAAAGCCCATCAGATAATGTACGTCTTTTAAACACAACTGCATGCTAATTTCATTTAAGTGAAGTTTTCATGTTCTCTGCTGTTGTATATCTGATCGTTAACTTTAATGGCTAATTATAAAACTTGTAATCTTCAGGACCTTGAACAGGACTACAAGAAATCAATTAAACAAAACTTCACAGAACTTGCAAATTTAGATAAATGCCCCCAAAATTTTATAATAATGTCTTTGAGTGGCCTGTTTATACTGGTATTTTTTGTTGACTTCATCTTTTCCAGAGCAGCTGGAAATTTAATGCTTGATCATGCAGGATATTACAAATCAAGAGGAAATCGCCTGGTAATTTAACACTTGCTATAATGCTCAAGTTAAAATGATTCGGGAATTTAAAATCTGATACTTTTCACAATTTTGAGTGCATTAAAATTTTCTGAATTGCAGAAACATTTTAGTGCATTGGTAATGTGCAAATACTAATTCAATGATTCTGTTTTAGAAATTTTGTAGTGATAAAGACATTTTACAGCATATAAATCTTGATTAGAGAAAATTCAAATTGATGCTTCATCACAACTCCTATTTAAATGCTTTAAAAAAAAACAACATTTAAATGGTAAGTTTTTAGTATAATTTTAAATCAGCACTTAGAGAAATTAGATTTTTTCTAAAAACCATTTCACTTAAGCTGCATATATAATCTCAATGTACCATTTAAGTTCACAATCATTTGAACACTTGAGATACCTAAGAGACTCTCAGCCAATGTCAAAATGTCCTTAAATTGCTCGGCTTCTTAAAATTCAGTAAATTGACTGAAACTGAATTATATAGTATGCTTGCATCATTAATGTGTTAACACCATTTTCTTCTTACTGTTCTTACTGTACATTTCTTTCAATTTTTTTTTAAAAAACTTGTGTGGTATTTAAAATTTTCTCAGTACTTGATTTAGCAATAAATATTGCCTTTTATTAAAAAAAAAAAAAAAAGGGTTGCTAATGGCTTTATTCAACAATTATTACCTGGTTCAGTTGGAATATTCTTGTAAGGATATTGCAAAATACAAAAAGGGACTAATTTCTGTTCAAGGATTGAGATCAAACCGAGATTCAGACAAAGACTTTGAAAAAAAATACATTCCTATGGTGACCTGTGTTAAAATTTAAATTTGAAGAATGTGCTTCTTGAAATTACAAAAAAAAAACTATGCATTATAGAGAGTTATTGCCCTTTATAACAAACAGGAGTATTCAATGCTCAGGGATGTAAATTTCTTGATAATTAAGATGATATTTGATTATTTAAAATTTTTCTTTTGCTAAATAACCTATTCCATTTTCTCTGAAAAACTAAACACTTCATACCACTAAAAAAAACTTATCTGCTATCACACCAAAAAAAAAAAAAAAAGATTGAATGTCATCACTGCAAACCATCAGACAAAACATCTTTGAAATATATATCCCCATCAGTGTTCAAATCCCCTAGATCTCCCAGATAGATCAGAGAATATATGCCTTCACAGAAATAATGTTCATTATGTCTCTCATCTTTTGCTAGATAGCATCGAAACTATGACAGATTTAGGATATTTTTGTTCTCTCTAGATACCTTACAATGATACAGATTGGAGGAAAAATAGATTTTACTGTGTAGATGAATTTTTAAAAGACTTTTTATTCTACAAAGCACACTTATAAAAATCTTTATATACATATTTTTATTATTTGCAGAACATGTAATATTTCTATAATGGATATAATTTTTGTCCTCTTAATTCAGCTCCAATAATTCATTTAGATGATTTTATAGCAGATTTTTTAGTATAATAATATTAGTACCATTTATTTACTTTTTCATTACAAAGCACATTTTTTTTTTTAATGCATTAGTTCTTCCAAGCTTTGGAGCAGTAATTATAAGAGCCATTTTATGTGCCGCTATTAAAAATCCCTCAAGTACTTACAAACAGACAGTGAAATTGCTTTAGGGGAATATTTATACCACCTGGAAGGATTTTAAAGCTTAACGCGTTTAACGTGCTGGGAACATTGAAAGCATTTTACTCCTGTCTGTAACACAAAAATACATACTCTACAATAGAATATATGCAAGCTAAATATTTAAATACCTATATATTCTGTAAGTGTAATGATCTTTAAATTCTTATAGTTATGATGAATTTTAAGAATGCATCCAAAGTAATCAACTGAACATCTTCACTGAGTTAAACAAACAGTGCTTATATAGACAGACAGTTAAAAAATACAAGGTTAAACTGGGTCAGACATACAGATATATTATTTCCCCATATTCCTCTTTTTTCTTTTCTTTTTTTTTTTGGGACCGTAAATCTAAACCTCTAAAAAAGGGGATGCAATAAAGAACTTTCTTTGAAGGGGTAAAAGCAAGCCTCGGGTACACGGAAACAGAGTTACTTGAGATAAAAAGTTTTACAATGTTATGTATAACTGTTTTTCAATTTTTGTGGTTCTGAGATACACGGTGCATTTAATCAGCACAATCTATAGCTCTCTCTTAACCCTGCACTGGCCTCACCCTAATGACATTTAGATCTTATTCTGTATATGCAATAAAACAAGCTATAATTCTCCAGAACTCAGAATATAAGGACCCCAAAGGCTTCAATGATATTACCACAAAATACTTTACCACACCTGTCCAATACAATATGCTTTCTAAATGAAAACTTTGAGGTTTCAAAATTCCTTTTACTACATTATATTTCTTTCAAGGTCTATGCCTAAGTTATCCACGTTAATGTCAAATAAAAGACCACCACATTTGGGTTAATAAGTTTTGGGGGTATTGGGAATTCTTCCCAGAAGTGATCAATATGCAGTCTGAATGTCTACAAGCTGTAAATGGGAAATATCATCCAACACCCCCAGAAAGAGATTTGACTCCAATAAAAATCTGAGGAAAAATAGCTAGTTAACTTCAATCTGATCC